AAATAGTTATGTGCAGCCTATAATCTAATTATATTAGCTACTTATTATAAGATTATAAACGCTGTCCTTTATATAGTAGGTATATTATTATAAGGTTAATCTATTAACTCTAGCAGAGAAAGTGTTAGTAGGTATAGTGCTAGAGCAAACTGCTGCTACACTAACTTACATCTATTTAGAAAATAAACTAACTATCTAAACCTAGTAAACTAAAAGCAACTCTACTAACTTTACTTAATGCTTTTAAAGTCTACTTTAATTAGTCTAGAAAAAATACTAATAATTATTAAGCCTATGCTTACACTTTTTAAAGAATTTTCTCTTCTTTAGTGTGCCTTTTACAGAGATAGTTATATTAGTGTAGCCTAGATTATTTGCTGTAGTCTTAACTTTTTTTTTTCTAATATTACTTAACTTTAACTAGATTAAGTGTTTATTGTAGAATTATTTTATAGCTAATTAAGTCTTAACTTTTTTAATAAATAAAAAGTTAGAACTTAAAAAAGTGTTAGTAGAAACCTTTATATTATTAGCAGCTATAAACTTTTTATTATTAGTATCTTCTAGGTCTTTATCTTCTTTAGATTAACCTTTAGCTATGTTAGTGTTGTTTATAGGCTCTTTTGCTTTTTTTTTATTACTATTAGCTAGGCCTTTTTTAGCATTAAAAGCTATACTAATGTCTACTACTATGTTAAACTAAGATAATAGGGACTGCATTACTTTGCTAAGTTTTATGCACTTATCTGTTGCAAGTTCTATTATATCTTTAATCTAGTTTTAGACCTAACTAAACTAGGACTATAGTAATTTATTATCTATAAAAATTACTTCTTAGAATAACTTAATTATAATTAGTAGAGCTGTGTACATATTTTACTGTATAGGCTAGGCCTTAGTTCTTAGAACTTAGTAACTAAATAAGTTAATTATAAAGGCTATAACTAGATTATAAGAAATAGTAGGTTTGTTATAGATTAGAACTAAAGTAGCTTTTTAAGAGCTTAGATCTACCTTAGTTAAAGCTAATTTAGGCCCTTTTAGTATTAGGGTGGATGTTAGCACAGCTAGACTTTTCTACAGAGTAGGGATGCTCTTTAGAGAGGTAGTAATATTTTTAGGCATTACTTTTTTCTTCTTTAGCTAATAAACTTTATTTTATTTAATAAATTTAGTTTAATCTACTAATATATATTAGTATCTAGGTATATTTTATTTAGAAAGAGAATAACTTACTTTAAAAATTATAACTTTTACTTTTTGCACTATAGTAACAATTTGCACAACTATAGCTAAAATAGTTAGGGATATATACATAGTAGATAAACTTACTGTTTTTTTTTAAGCATTTCTAGCAAAGATCTTGTAAGATCTAACCTACTATAAAGGCTACTAGTGCTTTAGCTGCTTTAGAGCGTGTAACTTTAATTAAAACTAAGTTAAAGCTATTTTAAAAAAAATTAACTTATGTATACACTATAATAATCTAATTTGTTTGCATCTTAACTAACTCTAAATAGGCTATTATAACTTTTATATTTAGATTCTTTATAAACTTAGGGTCTATTAAGCGCCTAGAAAGTTCTATTATCTTTACAGTAGTCTAAACCTTTTTATATAGCAGCTTTAGATTAATAATTTTATATAAATTAGTGTCCTTTATAAAAGAGTTAGACTGCTTAAATTTACTACTTAAAAGTTTAGGCTAAAGTATAATTTTTTTTTTTTTTTTACTTTTAGTTAGCTTTAACCTAGCTTTAGCTAGATTTATTTAATAAGGCAAAATAATTAAAGTTAGAGCAGGTAGGGCCTAACCTATGCTATATCTGTAATGTCTATACTAGGAATATGGTGGCATAAACTGCTGCTAGAAAGGGTATAGTCTGCCTAGAGTAAATAAAGGTGCTTTATGTTAAGGCTACTAGGTGTTCTAGTACAGACCCTAAGCCTGTAGATATTAACTCTAGGCCTGTAGATATAGACCTTACAGTAGCAGATATAGTCTGCAACTTAGCTAACAGGCAAATTACTGCTAATGTTCTCTATAGCTAAATATAGGTTAGATATAAGTAAAAGTAGGCTATAAAAAAATATTATTAGTCTAATTTTTTTTTAAGTTATATTAATCTAGATTAATCTAAATTTACTTACACTTTTACTATACTATTACTAGCTCTAATCTTAGCTGCCCTGTAAGCTGTCTAGTCTAGTCTAGCTAAAGGCGCGGGCAGGCACTGTCTAGTTTAGTCCTGCCTGTAATGCTATTAGACTTAGGCAAGACTATGTGTCTTCTAGTTAGAACATATTAGGCACAGAAGGTAAAAAGGTAGGTCTTAATAATATATTATTTAATAAAGTAAGTTTATTGTTGTTTAGCGCCTTTATTTTTCCTAATTAGCCCTAGATTATAACATATGTAAGGTAAAACTTACTATTACTATTAGCACTAGCTTTTTTAGCTAAGAGGTTTTAGCTTCTAGTTAGGCCTTTACCTTAGAAATTAATAATAACTTTAGTATTAATCTTTAGTAATAAAGGCTTATTATTAAGTTATAACTAGTTATTATTTAGTGTTATTATAGTGTTATTAGACATAATCTGCTGTGTTAGAAGTAAGTAAAGGGTGTTAGAGGCTGTTCTAATTAAATTTTAACTTAAAATGTGTAGATAGAGTAAGATGTGTACTTATAGCGTTCTTAGCAGTTTAGGATTAGCTAGTAAGGTTGCACTGCCCTAGTTAGGTGGGTTGGTGGGCGTGGCAGGAGGAGATGTGAAGCTGGGTTGGTTAGATTGTTTATTGTGGCGGCTGTGCGCGTAAGCGAGCTGTTACGTAATCATTCCTAATTAGGACTAGCCCCCTTCTTCCTGGAAAGGAAGGCTAATCTGCTCGTGCTTTCCTAAAATTCACAACAACTAAGCAAGCCCAAAAAAGGACCCACGTCCATCCTGTCAATATATTATTAGCGTTTCGTCTACCATGCCCGCCTTGCTAGAATCTCGCCTTGTCTGTACTTAGAGAAGCGCGTTCGCTCGCCCTCTATTAACCTGCTATCTGTAACGAGGTAGGCACAGTCAACCACATGGCCTTCTCTCGCTTATAGAGGTTTAGGCTAGACTAGAGACAACCGCTAGTGCTAGTGCTAGCCCTAGCATTATCTATATATATATTATACTATGCGAGAATACTTAGTTTAAGTATTCTCGTGCGTACTTTTTGGTACAGTGGAGAAAGTCGTATAGTATCGGCTTGGCAGGCGGGGCGCCTACCTTATTACACTATCTTTGCTTGCACTCTATTATACTATTCATCTCCTTCCCACTCTTATTTAGTGCAGCTTCTATTCAATTTAGCAGCCTTTTCTGTGTGCTATACTGTTAGGCTATCCTATTAATCTGTAATTAATGTTATCCTAGTAGCTGTTAAGCGCCTTTCTATTTTCTTCTTAGACTACTATGATACGTGTAACTGCGAGAGCATTATGAAGTAGGAAGCATGAAGCGCAGAAGGGGGTAAAGGATAGTATTGATAGACAAACCCTTGAGGAGACTCAGGGGTTCGTGAGAGGATATATATATATACTAGGGCACGTGGCGAGACGTCATGTGTGAGAGGTATCGAGCAGGAAACACAGGTCACAGAGAGGGAATGCAGGATAGGGGGGTAACGAGAGTAAACCTTAGGGTCGGAGGCAGAGGTACGGAGGCCGAGGAGCCTATATACCCCGTGCCAAGCCTAGGGTACTCAGGGGTTGGATAGCTGTAACATAACCGTGACATCATGTGCCCAAGGCCGGGCCGAGGGCTCTCCGGGGAGAGTCCGAGGCATGTCTAAGTTAACCGTGACAGTAACTATCTGCAATTAAGGAAGTGTACAGCTGCATGCGTCCTCAACGGCGCAGAGTAATAAAATTAAATATTTAGCAACAGAAACTACAACTAAAGCTTAAATTTTTAGCTACGCATTATTAAAAACTTGTAAAGATCTTAGAAAGATAGAGAAGTAAAGAGCATTATTTACTATTAATAACAAACAATGTAAATAGGATCTTAGAGATATAAGTAAAGAAAAGAATATTCTACTTAAAGATGTAGCTTGTAAAGCTAACTCTCTCTAAATACTATAAGAATATTAAAGTAGATTCTATTCTACTAACGTTAATTAAAAATATTTTAAAACAAAATGTTATACTTTTTCTTAGCTAGAATTTACACAACTTTTGTTCTTAAAAGAGAATAAGCATTTGTTAGAAATTTAAGCATTAGAAGCAGCATTACTAGAAATACACTAGTTGTGACAGACCTGCATTGTACGTAGCAAGGCTGGTCCTGTTTCTGGTTATGAGCTAGAATACTTCAGTTGTGATCTGATGTACACTTGGACGAAAAAGCTTCAATTTTCTACGTATCCAGTGCCGAAGGGGGTGACAACAATGAATCCTCACGGGCGTTCCTCGTGCTCGATATCGTAAGCGAGACCGAAAGCATTTGAACCGCATGGTGCGATGCTACGAAACATCGAAGACCTTGTTGCGCAGTTGTCTAACCTCGTCCTCGAGCTGACACTCATTGCTGTAAGCAATGGCACGATTGGTGCATTTTTCTCGCACATTGCACACCGCAAGTGGAGATATGATCCTCGCATTCTCAGCGCAGGGTTTTCAATTGACCTTGCATGCTTCGGCGGGTGGCGTTCTAATTAAGCTTTCTAAGCTTTGTGGATCCGGGGAAGTCTGCAGCAACGAGTACGAAAAAGGGAAGTGTGCCTAGTTCTCCGACTAAGCCTTAGCAAATCAGTAGTGTTAAGGTCACAATAATGTAGTAACAACAGGCAAGCTGCGCTTTCACCCGCGGAGTAGGCTGATGATGATTATGGTGCGAGGAGCAATATCGAGGTTGTCAATTATTGCTTGACCTTGTGAGGCTCTAGAGGAAATTGTGGTTCCACTTTGATGCAAAAATAGCAAGCCTGTAGATGCACTCCCTGTATCATTGTTCGTCACTTAGCTACTGAAGGTGGGGATGGGCGACCCGCTCTCAACAGTCAGCGTGAACGTTATGCGACGCTTCGGATGACTTTCAGCTCCAACATGTTGCGAAAGGGAAGACTCCAATCTTGGATCGATGAAGCGATTTAAGCCGACCTCCATAACTAGATAGAAGGTATAAAGACATTCAGTTTCGTTCTCCAACGTCCCCATAACATCTCCATCAACACACTTATCACACACTTCAAACACCGTTTCAAAAACATCATCCTACCTTTCCCCCCATCACCATGAAGCTCACTACCACCTCCATTGCCCTTGCCCTCGCCGCCTTCGTGGCTGCCGACTCGCACCTCACCACCTGGAGCGGCCCAAAGTGCACCGGCAACGCCTTCAACTGGGATGCTCCCGACTCCCATGGACCGGGAACTTGCCAGCCTGTGACTAATGTTAAAAGCTTGAAGGTAACCCATCTTGGAACAGGATGCACCGGTAGGCAATTAACCGCCTTGATTTAGAATAGATGTGTAGGAGGAGAAATTGACTAACAGACTTCAGGAACAATTTACACCGACAAGAACTGCAGCAAGAATGCAAAGGCTGCCAGGCTCGACGACTGTGTTCAGTTCTCGGGCGAAATCCAGTCTTGGTCTGTTGACTGCCCAAAATAGGTGGGAGAGCACTTTGCAACAGTTTAGACTGCGAGGTTTGGGGAGGCAAGGTGCTTTTCGGAGCACGTGCGGGAAGGGGTGTGTTGGTGCGCTCGTAGGACGCCATGAGAGGACGTTTTACAAATTGTACTGGTTTCAATGTTTGAACTCTTAGTCTGTCGTTATCTAAGTGCGAATCATCTTTGTGCAGGACATGCTGAATCAAAGCTAATGGCTAGAACACAGCCTTCGGGTACGGAGTGTCCAGGGAAAGGTGCCCATCTTTTCGCTCGCTTCAGGAAATAAGACTGTTCAATCCTGCACATCGAACAAGAAATCCCTCGTGCTGTCTCCAAAGTTCCCAAAAACATTCTCGTAATCCCACTCCCCGCTCCCCTCCAACCCCGCAGTCACCAGCTCCAGCTCCTGCGCACTCGGCAGCGGCCCAAATGCCGGCCTTGGCACAGGATCATCGTTGAAAACACCAGACCCAGACGCCCCTCCACTGGAATACCCACTGCTTCCTGAGGGCGGCCCAGTAGTCGAGTACCCGGAGTCATGGCCACTGCTGCTTCCGCCCGATGTCGAGCGATGCGGTGTGTTTTCGATGCTAGACTGACCAGACTGACTGCTGCTGTCCCAGCTCTCGATTATCATGTTGAAGACGTCGCGGACGGCGGCTTGTGTGAAGAATTCGACCTGCTGTTGGTTGGAGCGGAGAGATGAGGGAAGGTGGGTGTTGGCGAAGGCGGCGATGCGCGCTGGGGCGGCTTGTGTGGCGAATTCGCGGATCGCAAGGAGCTCTTCTGAGAGGCAGATATCTTCGATGTCTACCACGGAGTAAGCGAGGTGTTATAGTTGGGATGGGCTATACGACTTACATGGGCTCTCTGGGCGTGCGGCATCAGGGAAGAGGATCTGGTATATGAGATACCAGTTCTCTTCGCGGCTCTTCTTGGACGAGATGCGTTTCCCTAGCTGTCGCCTCTGGCTCTCGTTGATGCCGTCGAATATGCGAGGTGGCTGAACGATACATTCTGGCTGTCTGGAGTGGTGGTCTCGTTCTTCTATTGTGTCGAAGACTTTTGAACATCGAGCGCAGTGGATGGGTACTTGGTGCACTCTTAGGAGATGCTGTCTAGGCTGGGTTAGCGAGTGTATATATAGCATACGCGGATGACTGGCACTTACTTCAATCTTGCTATCTCCTGTAGCACGTACTTGAAGCATTTCCGATGCTGAAGAGGATTCTTTTTGGCAAATGGACATGCTAGCAGCCGCGTGTCCTGATCCTCTCGGCTCGGATCAAGCCTTGGTAGCTTGGACGCCCGGTCTTCGTCTTCATCGCCGGATCGTCTCTTTCCAGGGCTTTTGTTAGACCTTCCGCCTTTGGGCTGTGTAGATGACGCGGTCGTGTTTGTAAATGAGGATCTGGTGCCACTTTGATGATTGTCCTGCCGCTCTCCCCGAGTTTGGTGGCCGGCATTCTTCTTCCATTCTTGGAAGTGCGTGTATAGATCATTCACAGCGGATTGAAGGAATTGCTGAAATTGAGGCAGTAGCACCGCTCCTTCATCTTCAGATGACGATAATTCACCCCACGTCTCGTTGTCAGATACGCTGCCACCCGGCGAACCCTCGTCACTCTGAGGGCTGCTGGGGGGTATAGCATCTTGGTCCTCGCCCAGAAGAATATCTTCATTATCAGAATGCTCCAGTAAAGTTTCGTCGGCTGTACCATCCAACCACGTGAGTAAAGAGAGCCGCGATACTTCCGACTTAGCGTCGCCATGCCCTGCCAAGGGTCTTCGGGGCCTCTTGGGCCTCTTCATCGATGCATAGTTGCGCGAAGAGGGGACGGGGTATTTGTGGAAATCGAATTGCTGCGGGGTCCAAAGGAGCTTTTGAGGAGTTGTATTCGTTGAAGGAATGCTGCTCCCACAAAGCGACGGTACCTGGCTCGGCGTCGGTGGTGTCGAAGGACATATGTGCTTTGGTGTCGGTGGTGTCGAAGGATGTGTATGCCTTGGAAACAGGCCGTATGGAGGTATGATCTTGTTGGGAGGTGTGCAAGGACGCGGGATCCTGTCGCACTCCGATTGTGTGCGCGCTCTTTTCAAGGACGGAGTGAACGGTTCCGACGAGGCCGAGTTGCGGCGCTTCTTGCTGCCTTCATCCTGTAGACCAAGTTCACGTTTTAATAGTTCGGAAAAGATTTTGTCTTTTGAACAAGCCGACTCGATGGGTGTGGGTGCGCTCGGCGCTTTTGGGGGGGGCTGGGACCTTCTGCGAAGAGGCTCGGCTAAGAACTCGTCGTCCATGGCGCGCGTCCAAGTGTCCGACATTTCGAGAGTTGTGCGCGATGCAAAGTTTGAAGACAAGACCGGCGGGTAGTGGGAGAAGCGCGTTGTGGTGTTGGAGAGGTAGGTCAAGAACTGTGTGAAAGCTGAACGCGACGCGTGGGGTTTCAAGGCCGCAATCTGAGTTGCGCACAAGTTGTGCGCTCAGCCTCAATTGCGATGGCTGGAGCCTGTCGCTGGTTGGCTGCATTGGCTGCACACGACGCCACGGGATCCCCCGGCGCTCAGCAAGTTGAGCACAACTTGCGCTGTTCTTCAGAGCACTCGGAATCTCATCAGAACACGGTTCGAATTCTTGTCTCTTGACGTAGGAGCTCACATCATGCGGATTGGTGTCTACAAATCACCCAAATGGTTTTCTCGCGCTTTCACTTCCACCTGTGCGCTGAACCCTCCCCAGACATAGCTAGACACACGGCTTATAAAAGATCTTTTCGTCTCCGATTAGCCATACTGCCATCAATCCGAGTCCTTCCACCATCTACAACTATCCATGAGCTTGCATACGACCGACGTTCCCTAACACAGCTACGGATTCACGAAACCACGTTTCTGCATCATCACGTGACCTAACCTCGATACCATGGCTTTGAAGACCTTCGCCGAACCGATTCCTTTACTAATTCCTGGACCACGAGGTACATGTACGGTGCAATACATGCGCATCAATCCCAGAGAGTTGAACAGTGATCTCCAGAAGAAAGTTTATCAGCTTTGCACCCCGAGGAACCTATTTCGCCGCTACCTCCGGAGTTTCACTCGGAAGTTTCTCATGCAAAGTCTTTCTATCGCCAAAGTTGATCTGTCAGAAGTAAGCAATGGAACATCCAAAAAAAAAAAAAAAAACCATGCCACACCCTATGCCATACTGACTTGACCAGGCTTTGCCGACGGGAGACATCGAACCAGGCACACCAGTGCTACTTTACCAGGCACAATTCACAAAAGACGAAGTTCTCACACTTCTAGTCCGCGATCGTTCCCGGGGAGCATCAGAATTGTCGTCGATATCGGATTATATTCTCAGTGATAATCGGCGCAGCAAAGGGAATTATATTAGCTGCTGCGGTGCATGGTACTTGTACTACGAGCTCAGTGGGAGGGTGGCAGCCAAATGGCTTTTCGTCGCACTAGTACTTTCCCTTATTGGTGGTATCGCAGCGGGACTTGCAGGAGACACGAATCTCGGTCTCAACGTCGGCACATGTACGTTGGCTGTTCTTTCCGCGGTGCAGTGGCTGTTGATTTTATGGCAACAATGAGATGACTCAATCGCAACCGTTCTGGAGTCAATTTATTCTCGTCCGCGTCCCGTGCAGTCCTCTTGCTTCGGCATCTTGAACCCCTGAACCCCATCCCGTCGATCCCGCCCCTTAGCGCCTTCATCAGTGGCCCAAGCTCCCACCAAAAAGCTTATTTCCCGCCCACCCCCCGAACAACAGACCAAGCCTTTCCAAATGCTTGGCTAGCCCGCGAACGTGGAAATGAACCCTTAGAGCGATCGCGGATGATCCACTCCAGGATGAGGTTGGGCGTGCGGGATACGGGACAGTGGAGATCGGTGTTGGTATACATACGAGAAGTGCGAATTCTTTGTGCGCTTTGTATGAGTTGAAAATCCTCGCAGGTTTTGCGAATATTTTGCATCCAGTCTTTTGCACTCTTCGTTCCAAAGCTTCCTCGAGTCTCCCCATTCTTCCAGAAAAGAAAAACCCACTAACCTCCATCATGCACAGCTCCTCCACCCTCGTCGCAGCGACCGCCTTTTTCTCACACTCCCGGCACAGGCAAGCGCGCTCCCCTCGACGCTTTCGGACTCGCCAAAAACAACGAGGGCTTCGGAAGCGGAGCAATCGCCGCAGACGAATACTAAGCTGCGTTCGCGCCTTCCTCGCAGCTAGGCAAGAACGCTAGATACCGCAGCTGCAGGATCGAAGTGCGGAGTTAGGAGATAGTCAGAAGACGTGTAATGCAAGTTATTAGTATTGCAGTGGTACGCTCTCCCATCTATCGCAGGGACCTCGAAAACTGTAACGCTGACGATGTTCTCTGTATGCAGGATTCGGCCGCTGCCGCTGGTGACTGCTGCTCTGACAAAAACTACTACGAAGCGAAGAATATATATGTCAAGCTTTCCAGCACCAGACAGATAAAGTGCTGTACAGATTATAGCTGCACGGCGGCCATGATATCGGGGACGACGACGTACATGACGGCTTCATCGCAATGCGGTGACGTTCCTTCTGCAACACTGACTACACCGCCGATAACGACGGAAGCCCCGGTGTTTACGAGTGCGAGTGCGGTGCCGAGTGTAGGCAAGAGTACGGTCATGGTACTGGACAGTGACGTGGTGGTATCTGTTCTTCGACTTCGCCACATTGCCGACCAAGTCCACCGTCACATACGCCACGTTCTACGAGACCACAACCTTCACGACTACGGCGACTGAGGAGCTCGAAGCCTAGTCGCTCTTTGCCGCGCTGTCGGCGACGTTGACATTCGAGCTGCCGCCCATGGCTCACACGAGTTTAGCGAGCTTGTGGGATATCAAGCCTAGTGAGACGCAGGCGGCGAGTTTTAGGTTAGGGATCTGACAACAAGGGCGGGCAATGGACCAGTGGAGACGGGCAGGAGTACGACAAGAACGAGTAATGCAGCATTTAGCGCACCGGCGGCGGTTCCGAGTAACCCGAATTTGCCGCCGGGTGGTGCGAGTATAGGGAATAGTGTAATGGTGCAGTGGGGGATGGTTAGAGTGGGCGTTGCAAGTGGGTGGTTGGTGGTGTGGTTGTAAACGCGCTTGTAAGTACTGGTAGTGGAGAACGTGTCGCATACAATTATCCGCCTATATATATCCTTCTGCTGTGCTAGCGGGAAGGTTGACCTTTTGGCGACGCAACAGAACGTAATTAGATAGTATAGAGAACGCTGTGCCGCAGATAACGGGTCTGTGCTAGACTCGAGCAAGCCAGGCGATATATAGTGCGTAGCCGTCATTCGTTCTCAGTTGCGCGCCCTGTCGGACAAATGTCTCTAAAAGCAGCGATAGAAACCTCTAAAAGAAAAAAGAAGTTGAAAGTCCCTAGACATAGAGTTATTAAGATAAAAAAGAACGATAAGGTGGAAACTACAGAAGCCGCGCAGCATGTTCGCTAGTTGGAAGACGAGTTTTTGATTGGTGGCCGTAGATGAGATAGGGGAGCAGGCGGGCGTGTTGAAAATCGTGAACCACTTGACAGCAGAGGCGCTGGGGTAGGGTTAGAGGATTAATTACCCATTTTCGGTAGGGTCTCCATACTCAATGCCCCTGAAACGTCCATATTGCTAGCCCTTTGCATCAAGGCCCTGCAGGCACGTCCTCCGCCCCTCCGCTGGTGTGTCAATCCCGCACCCTTCCGGCGTCCACAGAATCCGCGCCGCCATCTCCGCTGCTCCCTTGCTCGGTACAAAAATGGGATCATGAGCTTTAAACACCCTCGGCTTATACTTCTGCGGCCTCTGCATCACTGCCTTCCTCACCTCGGCCTCGACCCGGTCATCCCCGGCCTTCTCACCTATCAGCAGCACATCTGTTACATTGCGCCAGATGCCAAACCTCGCCATGCAGTCCTCCAGCAGTGCATGCACCTTCAGCCAATACCTGTACCCTTCGTCTTCATTATCACCTAGTCCTAGTGAATCGTCAAAATAACTCGAATGCTGCTGCCACTGCAACGTTCGTGTACTGGCAGCGGACCTTTCCGGCGGGCACTCTACGTCGATAGCGACGCTTGAAACGTAGACTACCATCGTGTACCTCCACGGCATATCTCTCTCCTCTCCCTTGCACATCCCCTCGTGTTCGGGATGCTTGCACAGCCCAAGGCCATACCCCATAAACGCGGCATCGGCATACTTGGGCTGTCGCTGGAACGTCAGCGTGCTCAACAACGACTCCGGGAAATATGATGTCTCCCAGGGGAATGTCCCGGAAGCATTGAGTCCCGCGTATTCGGCTACGTCGTAGATGTCTTCATCATAGAGCGCGAGCAGGTCTGGTGATGTGATGACGGCTTTGCGCCCGTTCTGCGCGGGATTTCGAAGCTGAATTGCGCTGTCCGCTTCTGCAGCAAGCAATTTGAGGAGGCCGGCGATCGAACCGACTTCCGGAGAAGCCGCAAGTCCAAGCATTTTGCGCAACGAGCGCCACCTGCGACGCGGGATGTCGTACAGGCCTGCGATGGGGCCGCCGGGAGGGTCCCGGTACCAGTCGTATGGGGGTCTGCTGTGGTCAGGAAAGAAGTCTAGTAGAGGTAGGGTCGGAATCATACGCGGTGTGCTTGGACGATTCCAGCGACAGCTTGTGCATCGCGTCCTTGTATGCTTTGTCACCCTCAATGGGTCCAATGTTGACCACTTCCCCTGAACGGAAGATGATCGTCGCGGCACTATCGAAAGGGTTATCAAGAACTCTCCCACTACACTACATTAAAGAGAGCATCACGTCGCAGACATACCCGTACGACTCTGTCAAATCATATCCCACAGCCGGCCACTCCTTCTGGGCCTCCGGCACGTCAATAATGCACCAGTGGCATGTCTCGTTGCTCTCTGGTGCCCCAGAGATCGGTTCAGAGGTGTCTGTGTGGCCAATTTCACCTCGCCAGTAGAAGAGGAAGTAAATGGCGGCGATAGAAACTGCGAATGTGACAATGATCCTGATACCACACCTTCTCCGGGAGAGGCGTCGGTTGGCTCGGACAGCTACCCCAGTTTGACTTTCGAGATGAGCCTCCGAGGGAGAGGTTAGAGATGAGAATTTCAGGTCGGGGAAGGTGTTGTATGAAGATCCCATAATAACTTGGTGTCTTCTTAAGGTTCTAACGTTGTTTGTACTTCGTGGTACGGTATGTCCGGTCGAAACAGATCACGCTGCCCTGCGTTGAAGCCACTATCACAAATTCAATCCAAACTTCCTCGCAAAACAGGACGTGTGAAGTTTATCCCTTTGCAGAAGTTGGGAGCCTAGAGATATAGGATCACCTGCACAGCCACTTCCGCAGTTCTGCCGCAACCCCGCCGCAACCTCGCCGCAGGAGGGGACTTGAAACACGTTGTTCGAGCTCGAATCCTTCTCGGGTGACAACAGGGCGGAGCCAACAGCGAGCTAGATTTGTCAGCTAAAAAGACCAAGCTGATTGGCTGGAGGAGGAGGCCAACACCCTTCTTGAATGTCCTCGATAAGCTATGCTACTGATAATAGAGATCCGCTTTTTTTGCTTCTCATTTCTTCTGCGCATATTTTAGTTCTTTTCCTGCCCTCGGGTGTAGAGAACGCTGATCTTACAACCCGTGGGCAACACCTGACGACAGCCTTTTCGCATAGTACGATTATCGATGATTAATTCTCACACACGCCCGTCTTTAATAACACTTGGCGACTTGGCCTATGTTTCAAGGCGAACTTGAGATAGAACTAATACTTTGCCGTATTATTGCCATAGGATGAAGAGCAGTTGGCTAAAATTGCATCTAGTTTCGGCTTCGACATCCTATATCTCGCCTGAAATTTGTATACGTCAGGATGTAGCTCTAGGTGGAGTGCCTAAAACAATCATACACATTTACCCGTTCTGTGACATGGAATTCGCCGCTGCGAAATTCTTTGCTCGCCTCTGCTACAAAGCCAAGTTATCGCAGAGTTTGAGCTGATTGATGGTGGAGAGTATGGAGCAGTCAATTAGGTCATGAGAGACGACCTAGGTAGATTGAGGCGGGGTGTAAGGTCTCTAAAGCGAGAGAGAGCTAGTCCTAAACAAGAAAAAGGTGAGTAGCTACTTATAAAACTAAGAAGATAAATAAATTCCTAAAACTACTTAATGAAATTTATAGCAACTAATAAACACATATGCCTACATTAGTTGTTTTATACAGCTAAATAACCCATATTTAATCCATTTTAATAGGAAATAAAGATTAGAATATTTTGTTAAAAAATATATAATTTTAGTAAACAAAAAGCATTTTTATACAAAGTGTAATTTTTAGCTAAAAAGAATAAAGCTTAAATTTATATAATAAAAATATACTAACTAAGCTTAAAAACTTACTTTTTAAAAATAAAAATAGTAAACTTAAGAAAAACTTAGTAGAATAAAGCTCTACTCTACTACTATTTATACCTAGAAATAATGTATACCTAAGAAAATAAAAATCTGTAAAAAAAATATAAAAAGCATTTTTAATAGATGCTTTATATATAGAAAAACTAAAGTAGAAAGAAAAGACTTTTTAAACTACTATAATATAAAACACTACTTTAAAAAAACTGTATAACTATAGTAAGTTTAAATAATAAATAAAGAAAATAGCATAGTGTAAAAGCATTGTAAAGCAGAAAGCATAACGTATAGAAGATAGTAAAGAATAGTATTAGTAGATAAATTCTAAAGAAGACTTAATAGTTTGTAAGAGAATATATATAATATACTTCACAGGCAAGTTGCTTACACACCTAAGTTGCTTACTTTTACTAAAACCCTACTACACTACTTTTTTTATACTAATGCATTTCTAATAACACTACTTAGACGTGTTAAAAGAATGTTAGATATAGCTTATACTTTAGGCTTTTAAATAAAACATAACACTTTTTAAGTAACATGCTATAGCTATCTATAAAGTCTTTTAAAAAATAATAAGTAACTAATATGCTAGACAACTTTTTTAAGCTAATTATACAGCTAACTTATAAAAGCTAGATAATAATAAAAAGTAGGTAATTATTTAGCACATACTTACTTATATATAATAAGCTTTAGTAGTTGTAAACCTTAAGTAATACTTTAAAACTTAAGTTATAATTAATACTTATAAAAATAAAACTTTAAAAGTATATAAATAGTTTACTAACTTTTATAGTTAAAGCATTTAAAAAGTTTAAAAGAGGTAGTAATAATTATATATAAGTTAACGTACTTTACAGGCGAGTTACTTACACACCTAAGTTACTTACTTTTGCTAAGACTCTACTACACTACTTTTTTTACACTAATGTATTTCTAATAACACTACTTAAACATGTTAAAAGAACATTAAATATAGCTTACACTTTAAGCTTTTAAATAAAATGTAACACTTTTTAAGCAACACGCTGCAGCTACCTATAAGGTTTTTTAAAAGATAATAAGTAACTAACACACTAGATAACCTTTTTAAGCTAATTATATAGCTAACTTATAAAAGCTAAATAATAATAAAAAGTAAGTAATTATTTAGTATATACTTAAGCTAAATGCATAAGGATTTCCTCTTTAGCTAGCAGCTATAGCTAATATAGCTAATTCTTTGCACACTAAGCATAATATAAGCTATGTTAGTATAAACTAGCTTAATATGTTTACTAAGCACTACTTAAAGCTTAAAGTAAAGTTTACGTGTAAGTATAACTATAAAAAAGCTTTTTATAAAAATTCTATAGTAATTTAAAGCTAGTTTAACTTTATAAAGAATATTAAAGCTAAGAATAGTATCTAAAATAATAATAATTATAACTTTAATAAAATAAAGTTTATAATAAGCTAGATATCTACTAGAGTAGTTATTATAAGTTTAAAGAAATAAAAACAGCTAAAAGCAGTCTAGCTAGGTAACTAGAAGTAGACAACAGCTATCTAGTGTAACAATCCTTATAAATCGTTCCATCTCAGATGGCCTAGAAGGCCCCTGTATTAGCTCTAACCCTAACTTAATTCTTATAAATTGTATCTATCTTAGGTCGCCTAGAACCTATCTAAAGGGACCCTGTATTAGCCCTAACTCTGCCCTGCCCCTTACTGTACCCTTATTTCCTTATGTATTTAGTTGCACCTCGCCTTTGTAGCTAACTTAGTAGTTTTCTAATATCCTTTTATACACAGCCTATAGGTGTTAATAGCATTCCTAGGTTTAGAGTCCCCACGCACTTCTATATGCCTCTAAGTAGATTTCTACTGCATTTAGACCTATTATCTTGCCTATGCTGTTACATTATATTAAAAAACTTACTTTTACTAGTAACAGCCTTATTATAATATTACACTAATTATTTATTTAACTATATCTGTGACGGTGCTGCTTGTCAAGCTCCGCTGCTAATCACATGATCTCGCTAAGGGTTAAGCGAGCGCGCTAGCGCCTTGGCGCTGCGCAAGCTTTTCTCTCGCGAAAACCCTTCGCCTCCTTCACTCCCCATCCTAGTTTAGCTGAAATAGAGCCGACCTACTCTACCTTGCTTCCCTAGCTGAATACAGTAGTAGAGACAGTGCTTGTCATCACAATATCTAAGCTTTAAAACGCATCTAATTTAGTTTAGGTTATAATACTTACACACTGTTATATTAAACTAGTTAGTCTATAAACTAGATCTTATTAACCTTTAGTTAACTAAAGCCTTTAAGTTTAAAACTTTCTATCCTCTATAATTAAGATTACTTTTAGAAAATTTATAAAAAGGCGCTAAAGTAGAAACTTAAAGACCACTAATAATTTATTAGAATTAAAAACAACTACTAATATCTAACTCACTACTACTTTTTAATTCTAGAATTAAAATACGCTCTAGCTAAACCTACTTTTGCAGCACCTAAAGCTATACTTTTACTTAATTTAGAGTTAACCCTTAGCAGTATATTTATTAATAATTAAATTACTTAATTATAAGTATAGCTTAAGCAGCTAATTTAGCTAAAAACTGCTAGTTAACTTCTACTAACTACTAAATTATTTTTAATAACACTTTATACTACCTTTGCTACTCTAAGTGTAAGAGACTTTTTAGGTACTTTTTAAACCTAGTAAATCTACTTTACTAAATGCACACTTAAGATTAAGATTTTTATAGATAGTAAAAAACCTATGTTTAAATAATAGTAAGCTTTTATTATAAACAGACTTAATATTAATTTAGATTACTATTAGAGCAAGTGTGCACATATAGCATTAATATAGAGACACACAGCTAGTATTATAAAGGATTATCTAGAGCTAGGATACCTAGCTAAATTAGACTAGTTTTAGTTTAAGAGTGTAAAAGATATAATAAAGCTCTTATAAGCTTATTTTATTACTAGTTAGAAAAAAACTAAGGCATAGTAAGCATTCTAGACTTTTAAAATAAATAAAGAAGAAGCTTTTTTTGCATTTAAAGCGCGCTTTATTAGTGCAGCTATTAAAAAAAAGGTATCTTAGTTAAA